GCCTTCTTTCTTTGCGTGAACATTTGGGCGGCGTTATGCAAATCTTCCCACATAGTGATGTAGACATGTGGGGGCGTGTTAGAACGAGCCGTTTTAGGTAGGCGTGGCTGACCCTTAACTTTTATAAAGAATATCTCTTTGGATTTGAGACTTTAGTCTTTGCAATTTTACAGATCTTCTTTATGCACCAAGAGCTTGTAACACTCCAAAGAGAAAGGATACATTGAAATCGCATCATATGACCCCTATTAAGTATGCTGAATTCATGTTTAAGGTCATAATATTTTAATGATTTAGTGTCTAATGCAGTGTTTCTTTTCTCAGGTTATCCAGATCGAACCCCAAACCCTGTTATTCCCAAAAGACAGGCAGCACCGCCGCCACGACCAGCCAAGATCACCCCGATAGGGAAAAGCATGGTAAAACATCTAAATTACAGCAATATCTGTGCCTTAGCCTTTAATATATGTTCATTAAACAAAATAGGTGTGTATAGCTTTTGGACTCAGTTGTGAGTTTCTTTTTCTTCTAGAAGCCAGAGCCGCCTCACGACCCAGAGGAGTTTTACATCGACCCCAGTGACAGCAAACGTGAGTCTCTGAAACAAGCACATAAATTAAGAAAAGAAAGACTTTTTTTGATGCAGGACATTTATTTGATCAAAAATACAGTAAAAACAGTTAAATATTATTACAATTTAAAATAGCTGTTTTCTGTGTGAGTCTATGTTAAAATGTAATGTATTTCTGTGATGCGCAGCTGTATTTTCAGCATCATTACTGCAGTCTTCAGTGTCACATGATCTTCAGAAATCATTCTAATATGCTGGTTTGCTGCTCAAGAAACATTTCTGATTATCATCAATGTTGAAAACAGTCGTGCTGCACAATATTTTTGAGGAAACTGTGATGTATTTTATTTTTCAGGATTCACAGATGAACGGAAAGTTCAAAAGAACAGCATTTATTTGAAATAGAAATCTTTTGCAACATCATAAATGTCTTTACTGTCGCTTTTTATCAATTTAATGCATCCTTGATGAATACAAGTATTAATTTCATTTAAAAAAATCTTGCCGAGTTTTGCACAATAGAGTAATTCAGAGAAAAATGGATGGCCTAGTGTACATGAAAACTCTTCAACTTTATATTTTCTAGCGCCTGAGGTAATACGTAAAGATAAACCTGGTAAAAAAGCCCCTCCTAAGAGACCCCCGATGAGACCTCCACCGGCCCCTCAGCAAGACGAAGGTCATTTCAAGACTATGTTCATCAAACTATCACAGATATTTATATTGGATATTACAGTATTAGTTGATGGCACACTGCATGTTTAGTTACTGTACTCTCTGACCTTCCAGACGTTTACTTGGACCCAAATGAAGGGCAGGTAAGCATGACTAGCATTGAAAATGATGTAAAAAAAATTAGTAATTCTTGTCAGATATTATGTGATCATTTTAATATCACTTTATACTTGTTTCTGTCAGGATGATGATACCTACCTAGATCCTGTAGCAGGTCAGCACTCCACGTTTTTATAACTTAACATGATTTTGTAATGATAAGTTGACTTGAATCATATTTGTCATTCTTTATTTTATCTTTTCCAGAACCTCCTGCACCCCGAAGCCCGGCCCGCATGCCATTGCCCCCTAAAACTGTAGGACGAGACCTTCCACCACAAATGTATGTATGTCTCTGTATGTCAAAATCAGGGTTTCAGCATCATTACTGCAGTCTTCAGTGTCACATGATCTTCAGAAATCATTCTAATATGCTGGTTTGCTGCTCAAGAAACATTTCTGATTATCATCAATGTTGAAAACAGTCGTGCTGCACAATATTTTTGAGGAAACTGTGATGTATTTTATTTTTCAGGATTCACAGATGAACGGAAAGTTCAAAAGAACAGCATTTATTTGAAATAGAAATCTTTTGCAACATCATAAATGTCTTTACTGTCGCTTTTTATCAATTTAATGCATCCTTGATGAATACAAGTATTAATTTCATTTAAAAAAATCTTGCCGAGTTTTGCACAATAGAGTAATTCAGAGAAAAATGGATGGCCTAGTGTACATGAAAACTCTTCAACTTTATATTTTCTAGCGCCTGAGGTAATACGTAAAGATAAACCTGGTAAAAAAGCCCCTCCTAAGAGACCCCCGATGAGACCTCCACCGGCCCCTCAGCAAGACGAAGGTCATTTCAAGACTATGTTCATCAAACTATCACAGATATTTATATTGGATATTACAGTATTAGTTGATGGCACACTGCATGTTTAGTTACTGTACTCTCTGACCTTCCAGACGTTTACTTGGACCCAAATGAAGGGCAGGTAAGCATGACTAGCATTGAAAATGATGTAAAAAAAATTAGTAATTCTTGTCAGATATTATGTGATCATTTTAATATCACTTTATACTTGTTTCTGTCAGGATGATGATACCTACCTAGATCCTGTAGCAGGTCAGCACTCCACGTTTTTATAACTTAACATGATTTTGTAATGATAAGTTGACTTGAATCATATTTGTCATTCTTTATTTTATCTTTTCCAGAACCTCCTGCACCCCGAAGCCCGGCCCGCATGCCATTGCCCCCTAAAACTGTAGGACGAGACCTTCCACCACAAATGTATGTATGTCTCTGTATGTCAAAATCAGGGTTATTATCATAAAATAAAAATAAAAATAAAACCTTTTTTTCTTTTTAAATGTTACTCGGAATATATATATATATATATACTGTATATACAACTCATTGAAGTATTGTTAAGACTATTTCAAATCCTATTATATGTGAGTTTTGAGCAATGAATATAGCCTTTGATGCTGATATGGCATAAAGTTATAAATAAATAATAATTAACTACAATTAAAAACATTTTTACTCAAAGTACATTAATAGATATTTTGAAAAAAGTTTCTCCTGGGAAAATATTCGATTTTTTTAAATTTTTTTAATCAAATATCAATTTGAAAGATTGTATATAATTGTTTTATTTAGCCTATTTATTTATAGTTTCTTTGTAAAAATATAATATTGTTAAATTATTGTGTACAATTCATTGAAGTATTGTTGATTGCCATATTGCTGATATGGCTTAAAATGATAAATAATAATAAATAACTAACATTAAAATGCAAAAAAGGAAAATACAAAAATAAAAATGCTAAATATTGAAACTATAATAGTATGTAAATGATACTGAAAATAACACTGGTCTAAATTAATTTATTACAGACTCACATTAAATGATGGTGTTTGATAATGACTTCTTTTGCTAAAGCATCACAATTACTATTCTTAGAATTACCTTTATGCATTTAGTAGCAATGTTTATCTTGAACAACTGACTGTGCATTAAATATACAATTTATATTCATCAATATGCATCATTTCTGTCTTCTAAGAATTGAACACATGACATTGGTGTTGCTAGTTCAATGCATCCCACAAATGCACATTAAAGGAGCGACCCGAGTCATGTCTATAGATACCAGAATATCACAGAGAACTTACTGGGGATATTTTTTTATTAGGCCAGTAAAAAACCTTAAAACTGTGCATCGTCCCGCTAGTGACTCTTGTTTGCAAAACCTAGTTTGGTGATACCGTTTCTTCTGGTTTTACAGAATGAAGCCACCTGTTCCCAGAGCCAAATCTGTAAGTGCTAGTTTGACACATTCATGCATTCATTACAGTCTTCTTCTCTCTTGATTCGTTTGTTGGTTTCCTCAGAGTTCGGTTCTGATCGGTGACACGGTGAACAAAGGTTAGGGAGTTTTTCCCGTTCTAGATGTGTTTGTAATTGTGTTTAACTCACGCGTGATGATACAGAGCCACATGTACAGCTTCATTTGACGTCTTCTGTGATCGTTTAGTTCTGCCGCCGGAAGTAAAACGCGCCACGTTTTCTGGCCAGCTGCCACCCGCACTAAACAGCAAACCGGTTCCTCCCATCATCCTCCCCAAAGAACCCAAACCCAGGTGAGTCTTTGAAGCCTTTACCTCTTTACATGTTCAGAAACGTCCTGGACATATTTCACCCTAAAACCAAAGGAGAAAAGAAAGAAATCTGAAGCCCATTTTGGTTCTGTTAAGATTGCATTGTGACATTATTTTCATGAAAATGTCTTCAACCTCACGCTATTGTAATTCTCAGTATTTACATTGTCATTTAATCATTTAGCAGATGCTTTTATGCAAAGCGACTTACAAATGAGGACAATGGAAGCAATCAAAATCAACAAGAGAGCAATGATATACAATCTCAGTAGTCCACTGTAAAGCAGAAATGTTATTTTTATTAATCTAATGTGAAAAAAATTATATTAAAATTGTAAAGTAAAATTGTTAGTATGACTCAAGGATGTATTTGTTACATGGCTTTTTATTTAAGTTGAATTTATAAAAAAACAATTCTGACATTTTTATTAGTTCTCTTAATATCTATGTAATTTTTCTTTTAAAGGTTTAGTTTTAGTTTATTTAGTTTTAGTTGTTTCAGTACTCAAACTAAACTAAAAGTTTATTTTTTCAATTATTATTTTTATTTATTTATAAGTGATGAGAATGTTTTTGTGGTTATATTTAATGATATTAACCCTGGATTTTTTTTATTACTGTCTTACAGTTTTGTTGTTGTTGTTGTTTTTTTGCATTAATATAAGTTTAATATAGACTAATTAAGTGTTAGTTTATTTAGCTTGAGTTATTTTGGTACTTTAGTACTCAAACTTAAACTAATAAGAAATGCTGAAATAAGTTTTATTTATTTTTTAAGTTTTTTTTTCAATTAATATTTATTTTATTTCAAGTAATAAGAATGTTTTTACGGTTTTAGTTTTAGTTAATGATAATAACCCTGGATTTTTTATTACTGTCTCATTACAGTTCAGGTTTTTAAAATAAATAAATAAAGTTATTTATTATTTTCATTAACGTAATGAGCATTTGGTGTCAGTATGGGCTTAAATGTCATGAAAATAAAGTCACGTTGGTTTCTTTATGCAAAACAGTTTTTTCCATTTGTTTTTTTTGTGGTGAAATATAAGACACAAATATTTAAAGCCTATTTTAGGTACAGTAAGATTATTTGCATCATGATATTTTCATGCAAATGTCTCCAATCTCGCCCGGTTCTTAGTAGTCCACTGTAAAGCAAAAATTTAATTTTCATGAATCTAATTGAAAACATTTTTTCATTTAAATTGTAAAGTAAAGATGTCAGTAAAGCTCATGGTTGTATTTGTTACATGGTTTTTTATTTATGCTGAGTTTATTTTAAAAAGTATTGGGTGATTTTTCCAGTGTTATTTCAGTATCAATGATATACTATTTTTGTGAATATTTGGATTTAGATTTTATTTTTATTATTTATTTTCATTTTAATTTCAGTTAAATTTTAGTAATTTAGTTTAATTTATTTATTTTTTTTTATGTTAAAAGTTATTTTAGTACTTAAACGAAACGACAATATTTAATATATATATACATATATATATACTGTATATATATATATATATAAAAAAAAAATTTATCTTCAATATAAACAGCATGTTTCTCAAACTCACATACAGTAAATGTGTTGTTTCTAGCCCTCCCCCTCCTTCTCAGGACAGCACAGGTGAGCACATTTATTATTTTCATTTATTTGTCATTCTCTCTAAAATCTTCATCTTTTGATGTACACTGAACAAAATTATAAACGCAACACTTTTGTTTTTGCCCCCATTTTTCATGAGCTGAACTCAAAGATCTAAGACTTTTTCTATGTACACAAAAGGCCTATTTCTCTCAAATATTGTTCACAAATCTGTCTAAATCTGTGTTAGTGAGCACTTCTCCTTTGCCGAGATAATCCATCCACCTCACAGGTGTGGCATATCAAGATGCTGATTAGACAGCATGATTATTGCACAGGTGTGCCTTAGGCTGGCCACAATAAAAGGCCACTCTAAAATGTGCAGTTTTACTGTATTGGGGGGTCCGAAAACCAGTCAGTATCTGGTGTGACCACCATTTGCCTCACGCAGTGCAACACATCTCCTTCGCATAGAGTTGATCAGGTTGTTGATTGTGGCCTCTGTAACTGTTATCGTATGTCGCATGAAAACAATGATCATAATCAGTCATAATTTCCATATAATTCATTCATGTTCTTTCCATACAGCACTTTCTTTTGGAGCAAAGCCAGTCACTCAGGTAAACACTACAGTCACGATCAGCAATTTATGTGATTGGTGACAAACTGCAAAAGATGTCGCTGTATTCAGTCACTGATTGGCTGATGGTTTTGATCACAATCAGGGGGCGGGGCTACAGGACAAAGAATGGTTTGCTGGGGTTTGTGAACGCAAGACTGCAGAGGAAACCGTGCTCAGGATTAACAAGGTGTGTCTGCGTTTGTGTGTGATTGACATTTTATTTAAATGCTTCATGTTTATCATCTAAATGGCAATGTTGCGTTGAGTCATTGTTCTGAAATTAAGCAGTAAAATAAAAATAAATAAAAAGATGATCAAATAAAATATAAAATAAAATGAAATATAAAATAATTATTTAAATTTTATTTAAATACTGCATGTATATCATCTAAATGGGAATGTTCATTGAGTTATATTGTTCTGAAATTAAGTATTAAAACAAAAAAAAATGTAAAAAAAAATAAAATAATAAAAGATGATAAAATAAATTATAAAATGACAAAATTGTGCTCAGGATTAACAAGCTGTGTCTGTGTTTGTGTGATTTTTACTTGATTTTATTTAAATTCTGCATGTTTTTCCTTTTTATGAGTATGTTCAGTCGAGTCATTGATCTGAAATTAAACAATCAAATAAAATAGAAAATACAAAAATACAAAATAAAAAAAGATTATAAAATTAAATATAAAATACATATAAAAATTTTATTAAAATGCTGCATGTTTATCATCTAAATGGAAATGTTCAGTTGAGTTTTATTGTTCTGAAATCAAGGAATAATTTAAAATGAAATCTAAGATAAAATGACAAAATAAAACCAGGATAAAATCAGGATTAACAAGATGTGCCTCTGTTTACGTGCGATTTGTATTTTTTTAATTAATTTTATTTAAATTATGCATATTTTTCTTAAATATGGGAGTGCTCATTTGAGTTATATTGTTCTGAAATTAAGCAATAAAAATAATATATAAAAATAAAAAGATGAAAATAAAATACAGAATACAATGTATTATGAAATATATCTATTTTTACATTTTATTTAAATGTGGCATGTTTATCATCTAAATTGGAATGTTTAGTTGAGTTATTGTTCTGAAATTAAGCAAATAATAATAATAAAAAAAGATATAAAATATAAAGTAAAATTAAATATAAAATAATTAAAAAATTAATTTAAATCCTGCATGTTTATTCTCAATATGTGATTGTTCATTTGAGTCATCTTGTTTTGAAATTAAGCAACACAATTAAACAAAATAATGTTAAACATAAAATAAAATCACATCAAATAATATATATTTGCTTAATATCTGGTGCCGTTTTTCACTAGTTTTAAACAAAAAGTATATTTGCTGTGTATGTGTTTTGCAGGACGGCACGTTTCTGGTCAGATACAGCAGTTCTCAGAATGACCGTCAGCCCTTCACACTGGTCGTGCTTTACCGGCAGACCGTTTACAACTGTGCCTCTGTTTACGTGCGATTTGTATTTTTTTAATTAATTTTATTTAAATTATGCATATTTTTCTTAAATATGGGAGTGCTCATTTGAGTTATATTGTTCTGAAATTAAGCAATAAAAATAATATATAAAAATAAAAAGATGAAAATAAAATACAGAATACAATGTATTATGAAATATATCTATTTTTACATTTTATTTAAATGTGGCATGTTTATCATCTAAATTGGAATGTTTAGTTGAGTTATTGTTCTGAAATTAAGCAAATAATAATAATAAAAAAAAGATATAAAATATAAAGTAAAATTGAATATAAAATAATAAAAAAATTAATTTAAATCCTGCATTTATTCTCAATATGTGATTGTTCATTTGAGTCATCTTGTTTTGAAATTAAGCAACACAATTAAACAAAATAATGTTAAACATAAAATAAAATCACATCAAATAATATATATTTGCTTAATATCTGGTGCCGTTTTTCACTAGTTTTAAACAAAAAGTATATTTGCTGTGTATGTGTTTTGCAGGACGGCACGTTTCTGGTCAGATACAGCAGTTCTCAGAATGACCGTCAGCCCTTCACACTGGTCGTGCTTTACCGGCAGACCGTTTACAACATCCCGGTGCGCTTCCTGGAGGATTCGCAACAGTATGCACTCGGAAAAGAGGGCAAGAAGACGGAAGAGGTAGAGGAGGAGAGGAAGATGCTCTGTGTTATATGTGACGTCCGCACATCTGTCTGTCTGCTTTCACTTCAAATTCACATGTAGTTTGATAGCAGTCACGCAGCTGTGCATGACTTTACATTTATGCATTTTGCAGAGGCTTTTATCCAAAGCGACTTACAATGCATTAATTTTTTGTCAATTCATGCATTCCCTGGGATTCGAACCCATGACCTTGGTGTTGCTAGCGACATGCCCTGATGTTTAAACTGAGCTTAAAGCACTTTAAAAAATACTCCAGATATTTTTTTTTTAAAGTATCATTTAATTAAATTATGTTTCACATGATAATTTTCATAGGGATTGTTGAAATGCTTGAGTTTTGGCTTGAGCTCAGTCTCATGTGACCACAAAACCTCTTCCCTCATTACAGCTGGAGGATTTTATGCTTTTTGGCAAAGTCCTGAAATACTTTTTTAAATACCATAGGGATTTTTTTTTTGTCTAACATCTATCTTCTAAATAATATCACATTGATGTTATTAGCAACCACATAGCAACCAACCCGAGTACCCTAGCAACCACATAGCAACACCTTAGCAACCACCCCGAGTACCCTAGCAACCGCATAGCAACACCCTAGCAACCACCCCGGGTACCCTAGCAACCGCATAGCAACACCCTAGCAACACCCTAGCAACCACCCCGGGTACCTAGCAACCGCATAGCAACTCCCTAGCAACCCTCCCGGGTAGCCTAGCAACCGCATAGCAAAAAAAAGCAAATCACTTTGAGTTGATTTTCTTTCAAGTAATGAAAACGTTTTTAAATGACTATAATTTTAGAGGAGAATCTGGTGGTTCACCGTATCAAAAGCAGCAGACAGATCCAACAAAATGAGTATAGAAGATTTGGAAGCTGCTCTTGCCAGTCTTAGGGATTCAACAACTGAAAGCAAGGCAGTCTCGGTCGAAGTTCACTTCTGTCCAGGAGGTTGTTCTGTGTGAGAAAGGCTGAGACTTGGTTGAATATAACTCGTTCAAGTGTTTTTGCAATGAAAGGTAAAAGGGAAATCGGTCTGTAGTTCTCTAAAAGAGTTGGGTTAAGAGTGGGTTTCTTAAGAAGTGGAGTGGAGAGAAGGATGAAAACGAGTGTACGTTTGCTGGTAAGATATGTTTGACAGTTGTTTGGTGTGGCAAATTGTGCACTGAGGTTTGTAATTTTATTAATGAAGAATGTGGCAAAGTCGTCAGCTGTTAGAGTTGATGAAGGAGGGGGAGGAGGAGGACAAAGGAGGGAGGAAAATGTTTTAAAGAGCATGCGAGAGTTAGGCGAATTGTTAATTTTGTTGTGATAGTATGTCCTTTTAGCAGTGGAGGCATTAGCAGAGAATGAAGAGAGGAGTGATCGATATACATTAAGGTCAGTAGGATTTTGTGATTTGCGCCATACTCTTTCTGCAGCTCTGAGCTTAGAACGATACTCACGGAGAACATCAGATAGCCAAGGGGCAGAAGAGGTGGTACGAGCTGACCTGGAAGACAAGGGGCAGACAGTGTCTAAAGAAGACGTAAGAGTGGAGCAGAAACTATCAGTAGCACGGTTAACATCAAGAGATGATAACTGTTCAGGAGAAGGAAGCAAAGATGAAACCATAGCAGATAGCCGGGAGGGTGAGAGTGAGCGTAGGTTACGTCGAAAAGTGACATGTGTAGGGGTATGTACTGTATATATACAGTATATACAGACAAAATGATTCAAAATGTCAGAAATAAAAATATATAAATAAATAAATGTGTGTATATGTGTATGTATATATTATCAAATGATTTTCAAAAATTATTGAATTTTTTTTTATGTCAAAGCAAAACTGCAGAATGACAGTAAATATTGCGCATTATGATAGTTTTGATGATGATGTGTGTGTTTTGCAGCTCTTCAGCAGTTTGCAGGAGATGATCTCTCATCACATGAAGAACCCCATCCTCCTGATCGACCGTAAGAGTCAAGCTAAACACAGCACTCAGCTCTCACGCCCCGCTCGGCCCTAACGCTGCACCCTCCTGCGCCTGATACTGACCCTGATATCACAAACACTCACTCATACACTGCCTAAACTATTTATTACACTGTGTTTGTAATGCAGTCAGATATTCATAGTGTGTCTTGTGTTCAGTACAGTTTTTGAATCTATGTAGTAACTTAAATTCTCACATATATAATGTTTACAGGACAACATGTTGTCTCGGTGTAAAATAGTTAATAAATAAATAAAAATCAACATGTGACCTTTCTGACTTTTTTTCCCCCCACAAACTTTGCAATCAAATTAAAACAAAATTACAGAAGCTTAAATATTATTTCATGTGAGTGTTGTGAAGATTCTTTGAAACTATAAGCTAATCGTATGTTAAGTGGTGAAGCGGTATACAGTCGAGGTGCTATTTGATAAACTATGTATCAACATCGTGGTACTTTGAAATGATTTGCATATTAATGCAGCATGATGTTTACTCGACAGATCCATAAAATGCTGATTTATACTTCAAACATTACCATATTACTTTTCTCTTTATGTGTCAGTGCTATTAGAGTTATCTGAAACTATTCAAAACATTTCTTCCATGAAACTGATGTTAACTAAAATATATAACTTTAAGTTATAGTTTCTGCAAATATTTCAGTTTGTTGCCAAAGGAATATTTTATAGCTTTAGTTTAAGTACTTACATTTCTGAAACATTTACTACAATTACTAAAAATAACCAAACTAACATGGAAATAAAACTAAATAGACATTTAATAAAATAAACAAAAATGTAAAAAAATGTGTTAAAAAAAATAGAAACAATTTCAGTTATACTTAAAATTTGTAAAATTATCTTTAGTTTAGTTTAAGTTGAAGTACTTAAATTACTAAAACTAAAAATAACTAAACTAAATCTGAAATAAATAAATAAATAGACATAAAAATATTTGCTAATTGAAATAAAATAATATTTTTAAAAATCAGTTATACTTTCAGTAAATATTTCAGTTGCCAAAGGAGTATTTTATAGTTTACTTTAAGTTGAAGTACTTAAATTACTAAAAATAAAAATAACTAAACTAAACTAAAACTGAAATAAAAAAGAAACAAATTAAAAAAGACAAAAACTTTTTAAAAAATTGTTAATTCAAATAAATGTTACCTAAAATATAAAAATTCTGTAAAAATCGTTGTCTTTCAGTCTTTGAGTAAATATTTCAGTTAGTTGCCAAAGGAATATTTGATAGTTTTAAGTACTTCAATTACTTAAATTTAATTACAATTAGTAATGAAAAAATAATAACCTAAAACTGAAACTAAATAGACAATTTTAAAAAATTTAAAAACATTTGTTAATTTAAATAAATGTTAACTAAATAATACATACAAAACTTTCAGTAAATATTTCAGTTGTGTCATGTGTTAGTTAAAGTTGAAGTACATAAAATAAAAATGAAATAAATAAAAAAATAAAATAAAATGAAAACTAAGCAGACATATTTTTAAAAAGAAAAAAAATCATAAAAGGTCAATTACAATGACGGAAAATATAAAAATAAATTCAAAATAATAACAAATGCTACAATATTATATGAATGATCCTAAAACAGCAGTGGTTTAATGCCATGTGTATTGTTAGTCAGCTGTGTCATGTGTTATAGTTTAGTTAAAGTTGAAGTACTTAAAATAAAAAATTTATAAAAAAAATTAAAAATAATAAAATAAAAACAAAAACTAAGCAGACATATTTTTAGGTCAATTAAAATGACGGAAAATATAAAAATAAATTCAAAGTAATAACAAATACTATATGGATGATCCTAAAACAGCAGTGACCGTGTGTGTGGTGCTTGCTGCTGCTGCTGCTGCTGCTGCTGCTCTGAGTGAGTGTGCAGAAATAGACCCCCAGTATTTCTGGCTGGAGGGAGGTCCTGCTGTCACATGTTCGTCTCGAGCGGAAGGCTACAGCTGACCCCCTCACACTCCCTTATCCGCAAACTCACGCACTTGCCTGCTTCATACATACCTCACTCAGGTCCTGTGAGAGCGTGCTTACAGCATCTGCGCCGCAGGACAGGAGTCTCGTATCAGTGCGCGCGGATCTACTTTCTCGCGCGGAGGAGTCCGGCAGCGCTCCGAGAAGTTGCCCGGAGTGAATCCGACCGGCCGAAGACGCAGAGATTCACGAGCTTTCCCTCAGTATGCTCGTCTAACGGCTCAAGCAACTCAGAGGAACCGAACACGAACACAACTCTTCATCTGCGCCCCCTCCTCCTCCTCCTCCTCATCTTCCTCCTCTCCTCTCCGTGAGAATGGCGCAGATTCTACCGATCCGCTTCCAGGAGCATCTGCAGGTAAACCGCACGGACTCACGCAACTGTGTAGCGGCGCAAGTTACATAGTTGATACATATGTGACATGAAAGAATATAGAGTTGCGTTACATGTTACATAGTCGCCTGGCACTGAAAAGCACGACGGTACAGGGATCGATACATAGTAGCATGGTTCCATGACGTGTCAGAAATTGTTACATAGTTGCGTGACATTTGAATGATTACAGTTACTGTATCATGGAATGTTTCTTTTAATTTTTTTTAAATGTTACACAGTAGCACTTGCCCAGCGTTTAAAATAATGCTTGTTACATGAACATTTTTATTTCATATTAATATTTTAGGTTACAGCTGAATGTGTACATGTCCACTTCAATAGCCCCGCAGTGTTTTGAAGTATTATTACATACAGTATGTAATACTAAGTATTTTTACTCATAGTACTATGTTAAGTATTGCTACATATCATAATATTCCATGTACAGTAAGATGAGCTCATAAAACTGCTTGTATGATCATTATATACAAATTAGAACTAGTTTTAGTTGAAGTACACTGCTTGTTGACATTTTATCCCATCTACCTTGACACATTGTGACATTGTTTTATGATAAATTGCACAGTATAGTTGCATGGTATGCAAAAAATACTTTACTGTAATGAAACAGGCATCTTTGCTGAAGCCAGTTTTAGAGATGATGAAACGGTTAATAATATTTGGATGACTCTTCATAATGCGATGTGAGATCCTGTATTATAGCCTCTATTTATGAAAACAAGGCCTCTAAATGATACATTTGTGTGTTGAAGTGCGCTGAAGCTCTTTTGTAAGTTGATGTGTTTTTTTGTTTTGTCCTTTAAGGCTGACGTCTCTTTTCTCTCTGGACTGCATTAGTCAGATGAGCTTGTGTCTGTTATTGTGGGCTGGAAATGCACCGTCAGTAACTCCAGACATGCGCTATTCCTTCCTCGCAGAGAAAACATTCAGCACTGTGCTGTCATGTGTGGCTTCAGATAGCACCGTCTTTAAAGCAATAGTTCACCCAAAAATGAATATTAGCTGAAAATCTCCTCACCCTCAAGTTATTCAAGATTAGGATGGGTTTCTGATTTGGAGAAATGTAGCATTGCATCAGTGTCTCAACAATGGATGCTCTGCAGTGAATGGGTGCCGTCAGAATGAGAGTCCAAACAGCTGATAAAAACATCACAATAATCCACAAGTGATCCACAGCACTCCAGTCCATCAGTTAATGTCTTGAGAAGCCAAAAGCTGCGTTTATAAAAAAACGTATCCATCTTTAAGATGATTAACTTCAAACCATTGTTTAAATAAGAGTTCATAATCCATAATAAGGCTTCCTCCGGTGAAAAAGTGGTCTGGTCTGAATCAGGAGAGAAATCTGCACAGATCAAGCACCGTTTAAACAGCTCTAAACAAATCTGTGGGTTGATTTTGATGTGAGAGACAACATGAGATGGACCTTTTCCACTTGAGGAAGTGTTATTATGGATTACAGACTCGTATTTTAGCCGTATGATGGATTTGTTTTTTTACAAACACGCAGCTTTTGTCTTCTCCAGATGTTCACTGATGACTGGAGTGCTGTGGATTATTGTGATGTTTTTATCAGCTGTTTGGACTCTCGTTCTGACGGCACCCATTCACTGCAGAGCATCCATTGCTGAGACACTGATGCAGTGCTACATTTCTACAAACCTGATGAAGAAACAAACTGAGGGTGAGCACTTTTTCAGCATATTTTCATTTTTGGATGAACCATTCCTCGTGTTTTCTGCTTGAGTGAGATGAGATGACTCCGCTTTCCAGTAAACCAGTCGCAAAGACTTGCTTCACTCATTTCTTCTGGATTGAAGAGTGTGTTCTGTGGATCCATTGGAAACAATGGGACAGTGTTATTTTGGAGATGAGGGCCTCAGTGCCAAACGCTAATGAAGCTTCATTCTACACGCCGTTGAAAATATTCTCCATGACAGAGACGTGCGAGCGTTTCTCAGACTGTCCCAGCCTCACCTTTCCGCCGGCCGTGTTTTCTGGAATTCACTCTGCAGCTGATTGAAACCAGATGCTGCCGTCTCATTTAGATGTACAGCCGCTTCACTGGGATTTGAGATGATATTTAGTTGTAAAATTAGGAATTTCAGAGCGTGTCTATTGAGATACTGTCCCTCCATGCTCTCTCTCTCTCTCTCTCTCTCTCTCTCTCTCTCGTGTTAGTCTGGTGTCGGACGCTCAGCCGGTGCAGTTCAGTCAAAGAATGCCAAGAATCTGCAGCCGGCAGGACTTTGGGCCTCTAGCAGCTCGGCTTTATGTCTTGAGCGTGTGTTTGAGTTCATTCAGAGCTGGATTATGTTGATACAGTTTGATCCTGAATGGAAATGTGTGTGTGCTTTTATAAATAGACACACAGTTCATTCTGCTCATGTCTTCTAAATATATTGAACTGGAAAAGGAACAAACAGACAGATATAACTATATCCAGCTTCACACGTCTTTCAAATCACTTCTTATAGATCTTAAAAGTGTATGATTAACCATAACACCAGATTTGACATAAATACTCTTTATTATTTAAATGACTATTTTTTATTAATTTATTTAAATGACTATTACATTTTTTGTAATTATTTGAATTAACTTTTTTATTTTTTTATTATTTAAATGACTTTTTTAATTTATTTTTATTTAAATGACTATATTACATTTTTTGTAATTATTTGAATTAACTTTTTTATTTTTTTATTATTTAAATGACTTTAATTTATTTTTTTATCGTATTATTTAAATGACTTTTAATTTTTTTATTATTTAAATGACTTTTTTAATTTATTTTTATTTAAATGACTATATTACATTTTTTGTAATTATTTGAATGAACTTTTTTTATTTTTTATTTAAATGAATTTTTATTATTTTATTATTTAAATGACTATTTTCTATTTATTTTTTATTTCTATAATTTAAATGACTATTTTTCATTCAAAAAGTAAGTGTTTTATTTTGAATGTTTTTATTTTAAAATGATTTATTCATTTTAATTTTACATTTTTATGATTTAATTAATGTTTAGTAAGTGTTTTATTTTAATCTTCTTTAAAAATATTTTTGAATTTTTACATTTGCATTTAATTTTCAGCAAGTGTTTAATTTGGATGATTTTTATTTTTTAAATTATTCATTTTAATCTTACATTACTTATCTTACTTAATACCTTTCTTGTTTTAGCTTAGGTTGCAATCAACAATTTTCTGTGAATATCTGTAGATGCTCGTTGCTGTTGCTAATGTGAGTGTGTGAGTATGTTTATGTCAAACCATTTTCATTTTACTTAAAAGTATGAAGCTGTAGATTGCAGGCAGCTTCATTCAAATGAGTCTCGTCACATAATGTTTCAAAAGTGTCTTTGCATTAACTCATCAGATCAGGTGTGTTTGAATTATATCAGAAACAGTCAGGTATTTACATTTTTCAGGCTGACAGTAGTGCACTTCATTTGGAAATTTTGGCCTGTACAAAAACAAATGACTCGTGTGACCTCATTTCCAGCAAAACACATTTTAAAGCATGAATATAGATTAAAAAACTATCTCAGGATTAATAAAACTCTTAAAATAATTAAATATTAGATGAAAAACATAAGCTTATTTCAGTTGCCAAGGCAAGTCTTTTAGGTTTAAGTACTTAAACTAAAATATAAATTAAAGGTAAATAGAAAACATATATTAAAAAAACAACAACTAATAAATCCTGAGATTAAAATATAAATTAAAGGTAAATAGAATCCTGAGATTTGGTCCTTTATTTAAAATTTAAAATGTATGATTTAATTATTTTTAGCAAGTGTTTTATTTTGATTGTATTTTTAAAATTTTACATTCTTATTTACATTTTTGAAAGTTTTTTTTTTTTAATGTTTTTACTTTAAAATTATTAATTTTGACTTTATTATTTAATTTATTTTTAGCAAGTGTCTTATTTTGATTGTTTTAAAAAAATATATATTTTAATATGACAGTTTTATGATTTACATTTTTAGCAAGTGTTTTATTTTGATATTTTCTTTAACAGATAGTTGTGCAGTAGTATGTTTTGGTCTGAATGTAAATGACGTGTGTTGGTTGGTCAAAAATGTGACCTAATTTGCAGTGAAAAACATATTTTTTGATTTTAAAGCATGCATTTCTTGTTCAATCTCAGGATCTTATCCAAACCCAAGCCATATCTAGAGACCAAGCATCACAGATCTGTCTGTGTGTGTGTGTGAGAGAGAGTGTGTGTGTGTGTGTGTGTGTTTTTGTGACAAATGAGGACAT